TTAGGGTCAGCTAAAGTTCAGAGTAAAAACATCATTAATAATTGAGCACCAGCCTATTATGATTACAAACATTCATTAGTCCAAAAGAAAACACTCTTTAACATTGGGGTTTAACAATACTTTTGGCTAACACAAAAAAAGATTCTGGGATTTTTTTTGGCCAAGAAATCATGAGAGGTTAATATAGAAAAGAATCATAATGATTAATATTTACTAATAGCTCTCAATATATTAGTACAGTAAGAAGTATGTTAGGTCAACTGCTGTAATACAAAGAGCATATAGTAATAACAAGAAATACATAACTGCGATAAGAGAAGCTAATACCTCTCGAGAGAATGCAAGTTTAAATGTGAGTGTCCAACCACAAAATGATTTCCCCCCCTTAGTTACTTAATGCAGTGAGTGACTTCAGGCATTTGGCTGGCTCTTATTTTGGTTGATTTGACCAAACACACAGTAGTTTCAGTCATTTGACCATATACTACGTGCAATGTCTAAAAGGTAGAGAAAGAATGAATTTTAAGTCCCAATTACTGATTTCTTTAAACCTTTACGAATCAGGACAGGAATAAAATTCCAATATTAAATAGGAACATAGCATTTGTCAATGATAAAGTATTGGATGGAACCAAGAGGCCCTCATGTCTGGTAACCCACTTCCACCAGTGACCTATAAACGAAGCTGCTGAAAAAAGTAAAACACAAAACAAAATACACTTTACTGTAATGCTACGCCATGGTAATCGTGCATTACCGACCCTGGGAAATTCGTTCTCATCGTCTGGGGAGATCAGCTGACACTCTGAAGCATGGGGCTTTGTTACCTCTGTTTTACTGTAGCAAATATTATAATTTCCTATTCATTTATTTATTTGGGGAAGATTGTGGCTCTCCATATGCACCTGAGTAAAGATGCATAAGACACCACTATATGCCTATGTAGGTTACTTGCATCATGAGCCACTGCTACTCCCCCTTCCATGCAGGTTGGGAGAAAGACTATACCTCGTCCCCAATCTCTCAGCCAGCACTGCTGAGCTGGCATGAAAGGGGACACAATACATGTCAGGTAAAGTGCTTCCACAGATTACATCTCTCCCTGGAGCAAAGTGGGAATGAAGGATTGAATCATGACTCCCTGAGACTCAGTTCAGTCTCTGATTTGCTCCTGGGGCACCTTAGGTAAATGCTGTTTTTTACTTAAAGCTTGGAGTGACTCCACAATCAATCCCTTACATTACAGTAGCACCCAAAATGTGCTGTACAGACACAGAGGGGAGGCAGTCCCTGTTCCCAAAATCTTACAACCTAAAGAGATTTAAAATGACAGATGAAAGGTGGGGAAAGGAGATACAACATACTGAGCAGCTGGGGTGACGATGGCCATGCCTTTTTGGCTCCATAGGTACTTGAGTGTATTTATATTTATTTCTCCCTTCTCCCTTTTTCCATCTGTCTCTGGTACAACCCTTCCTTCTGCTTCTTCCTTCCATATCATGGACCTTGGGCTGGTGTAATAGCATTAACAAGCAACAAATGCTGTTATAAGGCACACAATTATCAACTCCCTTCGGAATTTCTTTGTAAACTGATTACATATGGCTGCAGGCCAAATCCTGATCCCATTAAAGTCAATGAGAATTGTGCCATAGGCTTCAATAGGATAAAGATTTGGACGAGTGTGAAGAATTATTTCATTTTATTTTAACTACTTGCCATTAGAGACCCCTTAATCTCCTAGCAGCAGAGTAAAACAGGAAAAAGACGAGTTTAATTCACGGTGGTCCTCTGGATATTATACCCAGGGGTACTGGAAAGTGACATATAGAATTTTTGGCTGAGATGTGGAGAGAGGGACATTTGAGAATTTCATGAACTATGTTGCTGGTCTTGACACAGGCCCAATTCAGCAAAGCATTTTTAACATATTCATAAGTCCCATTTAAAGTCAATAGGCATAGACTGCTGAACTGAGGCCATTATACCTGTAGTAGGAAGAGGGCCTGAAACATAAGCCCATGTATCAGAGGCCTTGTATCAGGCCTGAGGCCTGTGCTGATATAAAGCAAAGTTATATAAAGCAAGAGGCAGGCTCTGCTCACAGAATCTGGCAAGAACAGGGCTAATACTGCAGAAACACATTCCTAAGTACAGTAGCTCCTCACTTACCATTGTAGTTATGTTCCTGAAAAATACAACTTTATGCGAAACGATGTTAATTTCAATGTTAATTAAACGAACTTCCCCATAAGAATTTATGTAAATAGGAGGAGTTAGGTGCCAGGAAAATTTTTTTTTCCAGATAAAAGTCATTATATACATATACAGTATAAGTTTTAAACAATGTTAAACAAACAGTTTAATATTGTAGACAGCAATGAATGATTGTGAATCTTGGTTGAGATGGTGGAGTAAAAGGGTGAAATATTTCCCAGGCAATGCCTTGCTGCTAAATGATGAACTAGCACTCGGCCAAGCCCTCAAGGATTAATACGCTGTTGTTAATGTAGCCTCATACTCTACAAGGCAGCATGGACTGAGGCAGGAGGGAGCAAACACAATAGAGGAAGGGCAGTAGCTGCAAACACTTCCCTGCAAAAACTGAACATGATGATGAGCCCACCCTATCCAGCTGGTGCACACCACTCTCTCCTCCTGACAGCACATGTACGGCGGCACAGGGGCTGACTTTCCAAAGTGCTGGGGTGTGCGTGCATGAGTGAGAGAGACGTGCATTGCCTATTCAAGTACATCGCCCTTTTAAGCAGATCAGCCAGTTCAGACAGGAAGCAACAGCTTCCAGCAAGCTCCTCCCTGAGCCCTGTCCCCCTCCTCCACTTTGTGGAGAGGGGATATGGAGTGGGAGGGGGCAGGAGCAGGGGGACATCCTGATATCAGCATCCCTCTCCCCCACAGCAAGCAGGAAGCTCCTGGGGGCAGCTCCAAGGCAGAGGGCAGGGCAGGAGCAGCACGGCCGCAGGGGAAGGGCCACCTGAACTGCTGCTGGGCAGCTGCTGAGCCACATACCTTACAGGGAATTTAGGGGAGCTGATGGGAGGGGGGGCTGCCAGCCAGCTCCCCTGGTTCTAATCCCCCCAAGGAGGGGCTGCTCTTCCAGAGAATCCTGCAAGCAGTGGACAAAGCAGGCAGCTGATAAACAACGTTATAAGGGAGCATTGCACAACTTTAAACGAGCTTGTTCCCTAATAAACGAAACAATGTTAACCGGGACAATGTTAAGTGAGGCATTACTGTAGTGCTAGGCATATGAATATATACGCAAACACATTCCAGAAAGGTGGTACTAGAACACCTTGATACCAGCACTTTCCCCCCAAATAACAGGAACATGCTGACCCATCCTAAAGATAAGATCAGGATGACAGCATGATGGATAGAGATGTTTTGATCGAACCAACATGTACAAGGTAATGGGTGACACTCAAATACATCAGAGGGTGGCACCTAGATATGTCAGGAGTAATACGTAACTTCTTTGTATCTGTGCATAAAGAGGTATCTCAGAGGGAGTGTCTTTGGCCAGCCCAGGGGGAAATGGAAACTCCTGCCATTCACTGAGCTGCTTCCATTGTCACAGGCATACATGTGCTAATGTAGCTGTAGACATTGATCCGGGGAGCTAGGACTGTGCTTTGTTGACAATAAACTGGACCAAGCACCTTCGCACCTTAACAGATTTTGTGGTCATTGAGCAGTTTGCTTGAGGTCTGCCGTGCCAGCTGTCTGCTCAGAGCTGGGACAGCACACAGGGAAAACACACACACACAGCGGAATATCTGACAACAGTACCTATTGAATTCACATGGGCATTGCTGACTTTGCTGGGCATTGTATCAACCCTTCACTGTGGTATCATTACTGATCCCTATTACCACAGGTGATTTTTGACATTTACTTCAAAGGGCACAGGATCAGTCCAATTGCCTTAGTACTGTGCATTTATTTATTTGTTCTCTTTCTCTGTGTGAGCGTGTTGTTTTAGATCTGTATTGGCAAAATCTTTTTTTTAAAACACAAAAGGAAGGGGAAAAAAAAGTAAACAAATGTAGCCCAGAGTTTTAAGTCAATGCAGCAGTAGCAGCTAGTATATTATGTACTATCACTCAGTGTGGTGCACTTTTAATCAGTTTTTCAGAGAGGACCTGGCAAAGTGACAGTGGAGGCCAGTGAACATCATGTCAGCTTTCACAACTGTGTTCTTAGGCTCCATTCGGGGTCGGTTGACAACAAAGACAACAACCGCACTTTCAACTACGACCGAAGAGCAATGTGTTCGCGTTTGGGCCAGTTTTCAGCCACTTCATGGAGTTTATCTGAATGCACCCGCTTTGAGGGGAGGAAAGAGACACAGAGAAACCACAATCCTTTAAATAAGAGCCTGCTATTTTTAGTTCTTGAACTGGAGCTAAGTTTAAAGAGCTCACCAGTTGAGAAAGCACAGAGACGCCTGAGTGCTGTATTCCCGGACAGAATTCCTGACAGTGCAAACCACTTCCACACTGATCTACAACTCTACACGAAGAAAGGGCCAGAGAAACAATACAGTACAAATGTGGTCCAAAGAGTTGTGTATGCAGGAAGTGAGGGAGCCTTTGACAAAATGAGCATTGCCCGCTTTTCCTCCCAGAGTAACAGAGCGAGCCAGCGATGCCCCTGCCCCAGGACAGTCCGTCGGTCACAGCACACCTGGGAGGAGCGAGCCAGCCAGCAGGAACGGGGGTGGGGTAGCTCAGGCATTGATACAGCTCAGGCTCTCGGCTCTCGGGTTTACACCTGCTCCTCCCCTGCCTCCAGCTCATCCCACCACCCGCTGGGGCTGCCCCGGGGCTCTGATTGCCTGGCCCCGTGGTTTCGGGCACGTGGGGGAGGCCATGTGGCCCCTTCCCGCAGAGCCCCTTCCTGCGGCGGAGCCCCGCAGCGGAACTACGTTTCCCAGGGTGCAGCCCGCAGCCCGGGGAAGGCGGTGCCGGCCCCGCAGGAAGGGCGGCGGGCCCGGCGCACTTGCAGCGCCGCAGAGCCAGTGCGGAGCCGGGCGGCGGCGCGGGAGCAATGCTGTGCTATCCCGGGCCACGCTGCCCGCCGGGCGTCCGTCTCCTCCTGCTGCTCCTCCTCTGCGCCAATGCTCTGGCCTCCGTGGTGTCGGGGAGCCGCCGCGGGGGCAGCAACGAGAGACCCATCGTTGGTAAGAAGCTCAGGGGCAGGGAGCCGGGGCGCGGCGGGCACCGTGACAGCCCCTGCGTGCGAGAGGTGTGCCCCGTGTTCGCAGGGGGGGAGAGCCCCACGCCCCCTTGTAGAGAGGAGGGAGCAGAGGGTGGTTAGGGCAGATGTTCACACGAGAGGGTCAATTGGGGGAAAGCATTAAAATAAGGCCAAAATACCTTCTCCTTCCTCCAAAACTCCCCTCCTCCCCCCCAGGTCTGACACCTCTGTGGGGAGGGCGGTGTTGACATCCTGAGTACAAAGCTTCATTGTGTCAACAAGGAGCCATCTTCTCACTGCCTACCCGTCTCACCTGTTAGGATAGTGTCAGCCTCAGCAATAACAACGTAGCCTGCACTGACTCATCAGGCGAAAGACTATTTGACTGTATCTATCCAGTGCGCCCATATACTCCCACTGCCATAGGATCTGAGCACGTCCTAATCTTTTAGAGCAGTGTTTCTCAACCTTTTTGATACTAGGGCCTGGTTTGCTGCCTTCCTAAACTATCAGGGAGATGTCAGGGACCAGTGCCGGACCTGTCATCGAGAAACTGTTTTAGGGTAGGTCTGCACTATCACTTAAGTCAATATAACGTACATCACTCAGGGATGTGACAAAGCCACGCCCCTGAGCGATGTAAGTTACAGCGACCTCAGCGCTGTCCACACAAGCGGTATGTCAGCAGGAGAGGCTCGCCTGACCACCTTCTGCCTCACATGGAGGTGGAGTAATTATGCTGAGGAGAGAGAGCTCTCCCGTCGGCATAGAGCATCTTCATCAGATGTGCAGCTGCACTGATGTAGCGCTTCTAGTGTAGACTAGCCCTATTAGAGTATTCATCTTCAGAACACCTGAGAGCTAAGGAAGTACAGTTATCTCCATCTTACAGATGGGGAACCGAGGCACACAGACACTCAGGAGTCCCCTCCACCCACCCACCCTCTCAACTTTTTCAGAAAAGCCCCTCTGCTCCCTTTTGAAGTCAGAACAAGTGTTGATTTTGTTTAAAAAAAAAAAAAGTTTCCTTTTCCAGAGCTGGTTTGTTTGTTACCAGGTCTTTGCTTTCCATATGTAAAGTAAAAATAGTAAGCAATTAGTCAGCAAACTATTTTTTTTTCATTTTTGCTGTTTCTAGAAGCTGTGATACAGTGAGTCATGTGGCACAGTTGCACAACAGTCTAGAAAACATTCTAATGTAGTGTTCTGGTCTGGCTATGTGCTGCAGAATGGACATTTAGAAAATGTCCAAGTATCTTTGTGTAAATCCTCGTAAAAAGGTATTGTCTGAGGCCCCAATCCTGCAGACCTACATGTGCTTCAGTTGAAGCACATACATTGTGATTTTAATGGGACTACTCACATGCTTAAAGTTAAGTGCAAGAGTAAGTGTTTGAAGGATTAGGGCCTAAAATGGTATTAGTTTTAGAATTACAAATGGACCTTATTGTAGGTTTTTGTATGGCTAATGTTTAAGATATGGTTTTTAGTATTTCTGATGTTTTTGAAAATATAAATCCATAAAAGGTGAAAATGGAAAATTCTAAAACACTGCCTGCCACCACAAAAAAAGCCTGCAACATTGGACGTAAAGTAAATAACCTGTGTTGCCTGTCATCTCAACTCTGATACATATAACTATGGTCCCAATATTGCAGTCCAATCTGTGTGGATGACACTGAACTCTTATGGAATCCTCTCGATTCACTGTGTGGGGCCAGTGGTCCAACTATAGAGATTAGGCTGCAGCGTCAGGGATTTGATTTTAAACTCTTTGGAGCTGGGACCTTGTCTTTAAAGTGCTTTGATAAATAAAGATATTTTAGTTATGCTCTAAACAAATTAAATATAGAAAATATGTTTATAAGAAGTTGTGGAACTAATCAAATAAGGCAGGGAATTTAAAGTCAAACTGTTAAAATGGTTTCATTTGATACCCCATTACTAAGCAAGCTTATTTGCTTATTATTCCAATTTTCTCATATTTCGTGGTAAATCATTAAGTATAATACTGCTCAATGTAGTATATGAATCAAATCAGTTAGTGAAAGGAATGAGAGTTTTGATTTAATTTGCCTTCTTCTGGACTATAACTACTGTCATTTGTATATCAGCAATCCTCTCTGTTTTCTGGACACTGTAGGGATATTGGCACAGGAGTGTGACTTTACAAGTTTCAGTAGGTTTGGAAGTTCCTACATTGCTGCTTCATATGTGAAGTTCCTAGAATCTGCTGGTGCACGAGTTGTGCCAATAAGGTAGGCTCTCATATAGTTACAGGTGGTAATTCCAGGCCTTTTGTACTGCATAAATGCCTAATCTTGAAAGGTGCTTAATGCGTAAGTGCTGACTCACTTTATAATTTTAATCCCTCACAGACTAAAGAAAGTGCACAGCACTTTGCAAGATCTCTAGGAATGGAGGCTAGACTCACAGCAAGCTGGTGCTGCCAATGCAGTGTATTAAAAGTGTTTCTTCATCTTCAGACTTAATATATGTACCAGCTGCTAGCTGTGATCTGTGAAGTTTCCAAATACATGCTATTGCCTTCAGGGCCACATATTGCCACGTGTACATAAGTAAAGCTAGGACTCAGGGTATGGAGGGAGACTGCCACTAGTGCTTGAAGTGTTCAGATCTGATTCCTCTCATTCTCCGGCTCACTAACTACTACCACAAAGAGCTCTATGTTTTGCAAATATTCCAGGTTCTGGATCAGAGTAACATTCTGGCTTATGCAGGCAATAGGCTGCCAGAAAGAGCACTTCGTGGCCAACAGTAAAATGTAAAACTATAACCGCAAATATGATATTAGTAGGAATTAAAGTAGTAGTTGGATACTGCTACAAAACAAGAACACAACCAAGTGTCAAAACTGCATGAAATCATTCTTCATAGCCAATGTTTTGATGATCCCATTGGTCTTCCCCAGCTTTCTGAATCTCCCCGGGACTTTGATCTGAGAACCTGTGGCAAAACACGCTCCTTGTTCACAGAGACTGGCTCTTAGCTAAAAAGGCGGATGGGGCAAATTGAGAAAGCTAGGACTGAGTGTGGCAGGTGATAGTCAGAGTGTGTGTTTAACAAGTGGGGCAATTCTGACCTTGCTGACACAGGTGTAAATCAGGAGTAACTACTCTGAAGTCAGTGAACCATAAAATCAGTGTGAGATTGGAATAAGATCTCATGTTTATAAATCACTGTTAATCATATACTCACATGGCTGCCTATACCTCTGTACCAGCTCTGACACCATGCTCCAAAGGAGAGACACCAGCAGGGGTTGTTCCCAAAGCCCCATGAATTGATGTGAAGGGCCATGCAGACTGTATTGCCTTTTCTAAATTCTTTGAGGCTGACAGGTGTGGAGATAGGATAAAGAAGTTGGTGGAGTCCCCACTTCTATGTGAAAGGGGTGAGATCTGCATGCAGTCTGTCACATCCATGCATGGCTCTAGGGCAAGGGTGGGGAACCTTTTTTCTATCAGGGGCCACTGACCCACAGAAAAAAACAGTCACAGGCCATACAGCCTTGCGGGGGAGGGAGGGTGGAGGCTCCAGGGTGGGGCCAGAAATGAGGGCTTCAGAGTGTGGGAGCAGGCTCTGGGCTGGGGCAGGGGTGCGGGCTCTGGGGTGGGGCTGGGGATGAGAGGTTTGAGGTGCAGGAGAGGGCTCTGGGCCAGGGCCAAGGGGTTTGGAGTGTGGGAGTGGGCTCAGGGCTGGGGCAAGGGGTTGGGGTGGGAGGGAAGGCTCTGGGAGGGAGTTAGGGTGCAGGAGGGTGTTCTGACCTGGGGCAGAGGGTTTGGGTTGCGGACTCCGCTGGGCAGCACTTACCTTAGGCAGCTCCTGGTTGGCGGTGCAGTGGGACTAAGGTAGGCTCTGCGCTGCTCCCAGAAGCAGCCACCATGTCCGGCCCCTAGGCGGAGGGGCCAGGGGGCTGTGCGTGCTGCCTGCGCTTGCAGGCCCCACCCTCATAGCTCCCCTTAGCCTCGGTTCCCAGCCAATGGGACCTGCAGAACTGGTGCTGGGAGCAGGGGCAGCGCACAAAGTTTCCCCAATCGCCCGTGCTCCTAGGGGCCGCAGGGACATGTCAGTTGCTTCTGGGAGCTGGATGGAGGCAACCAGAGATTTAATGGTCTGTCAGCCCTCCTCCCGCAAGGGAGCAAGCTGGCACTTACGGCTCCAGCCCTGCGGGGGGCTGCCGAGGCTCAGGGCTTCTGGCCCGTGGCATGGGGACTTGCTGTGGGCCGGATAAAGGCTGGAGGTTCCCCACCCCTGCTCTAGGAGGCCTGAACTCACCCAGTCTGACTCCCTGAAGAGTAAGTTTCCATTTATGAAATTTAAGGCTGGAAGAGTCCTCAAGAGGTCATATAGTCTCCCCTGCCCCCCGCTCCCCCACGGAGGCAGGACTAGGTAAACCTAGACCATCCCTGACAGGTGTGTATTCAACCTGTTCTTAAAAACCTGCAATTATGGGGATTTCACAACCTCCGTTGGAAGCCTATTTCAGCACTTAACTATCCTTATAGTTAGAAAGTTTTCCCTAAAATCTAACCTAAATCTTGCTTGCTGTAGATTAAGGCCAGTCCTTTCTTGTTCTACCTTCAGTGGCCATGGAGAACAATTGATCATTGTCCTCTATAACAGCCGTTAGCATATTTGAAAACTGTTATTAGGTCCCCCCACTCAGTCTTCTTTTCTCAGTAGTAGACATACACAGTTTTTCTAACCTCATAGGTCAGGTTTTCTAAACCTTCTATCATTTTTGTTGCTCTCCTTTGGACTCTTACCAATTTGTTCATATGTCTCCTAAAGTGTGGCACCCAGAACTGGAGCCAGTACTCCAACTGAGGTCTCACCAGCATTGAGTAGGCAGGACAATTACCTCCTGTGACTTACAGATGAGACTCCTATTAATACACGTCAGAATATTAGTTTTTTGTAGCTGTATCACATTGTTGACTCATATTCAATTTCTGGTCCCTGTAACCCTCAGCTCCTTTTTACACTGCTGCCACCTAGCCAGTTATTCCACGTTTTGTAGTTGTACGCTCTTCATAGACTACTGGAAGAGTAAGGTACCATTTATAACGGGGGGGGCAGATTTTGGCCTTTAGTGACCTAGAATTACTCCCTTCCTTAGTTTTCATACATGTTTTTATAAACTTTCCATGCCCATTGCAGATGGCTTGTATTAAGTATCTTTGGTATTTTAATAGTAAAATGTGATGAAGTTTTAGACATACCTATAACTATCTTTGTTGGGATTTCAGACTGAATCGTTCAGAAGAAGAGTATGATAAGATTTTCCAGTCTATTAATGGGTAAGCTTTGAGCATCAGTTTCCTGTTGAAATGTCCATTAACACAAAGTCTCTCTAAAACAGATGTTATCAAAGCCACTGTTGTTTTACTGTTAAGTGCTTGGTTTTGCCTTTAGTGATTCCAGACTCCGATACTTCATTTTTCTAAGTAGGGAATGCAAGTGTAATCTTCTTTCTTGCAGGTGTGTGCATTAATCGTGATTAAAAAAATTAATTGTGATTAATCACAGTTTTAATTGTACTGTTAAACAATAGAGTACCAATTGAAATTTGTTATATATTTTGGATGTTTTTCTACATTTTCAGATACATTGATTTCAATGACAACACAGAATACAAAATGTACAGTGCTCACTTTATATTTTTATTACAAATATTTGCACTGTAAAAATGATAAAAGAAATAGTATTTTTCAGTTAATCCCAGACAAGTGCTGTAGTGCAATTTCTTTATCATGAGAGTGCAACTTACAAATGTAGATTTTCTTTGTTCCATAACTGCACTCAAAACAATGTCAAACTTTAGAGCCTACAAGTCCACTCAATCCTACTTCTTCAGCCAATCGCTAAGAGAAACATGTTTGTTTACATTTACAGGAGATAATGCTGCCCACTTCTTAATTACAATGTCACCTGAAAGAACATGCATTCGCATGGCACTGTTGTAGTTGGTGTCGCAAGATATTTATGTGCCAGATGCGCTAAACATTCATATGCCCCTTCATTCTTCGGCAACCAATCTAGAGGACATGCTTCCATGCTGATGACGCTTGTTAAAAAAATAAGGAGTTAATTAAATTTGTGACTGGACTCCTTGGGGGAGAATTGGATGTCTCCTGCTCTGTGTTTTACACACATTCTGCCATATATTTCATGTTATAGCAGTCTCGGATGAAGTTGTTTGTTTTAAGAACACTTTCACTGCAAATTTGACAAAATGCAAAGAAGGTACCAATGTGAACTTTCTAAAGATAGCTACAGCACTCAGCCCAAGGTTCAAGAATCTCAAGTGCCTTCCAAAACCTGAGAGGTGTGGAGGTGTGGAGCATGCTTTCAGAAGTCTTAACAGAGTAACACACTGATGAGGGAAACTACAGAACCCAAACCACCAAAAAGGAAAATCAACCTTCTGCTGGTGGCATCTGACTGAGATGATGAAAATGAACATGCATTAGTCCGCATTGCTTTGGATCGTTATCAAGCAGAACCTGTCATCAGCATGGACATATGTCCTCTAGAATGGTGGTTAAAGATGAAGGGACATATTACTCCTGGGAAAACCTGCAGCACTGCGCATGCACAGAATTCATGTTCCCCGCAGATTTCTTTGCTTCCCTATCAGAAAGTCATTTTTCTGGGGGGAAGCAAAGGGAATCTGCAAGAGTAGTCACGTACCAGTCCCTAGCTGCGCAGATTCATTGTTTCAGGCAGCCGTCAGAGAGGTAAATCACCGCAGGGCTGGGGACATCCAAGCCAGTGGCTCCTGTCCTGAGCCAGAATCAGCTGTTAATCCTGGCTGGGCTGGAGGCAGGAGAGGACACGACTTCCCTTTCCCCTGCAAGGAGTGGCTGGGGCTGTGTCCGACCCTCCCCCAGTTGCAGCATCCTCCCATGCTCATCATCCTCCTCTGTTTCCTGCCCCCATCACACCACAGCTGTGGAGGGTGGGGTCACTGTATGGGGAGCTGCTCCCCCATCCACCCAACCCCCGTGCATCTGGACCTCCCATACCCAGACACTCACACCAAGTCTCACCCCATACACCCAGAAGCCCCTAGCACACCATACCTGAACCTCAGCCCCTGCATCTGGAGCCTCCCTGAACCCAGACCACGCCCCCACTGAGCTCCCTGCACTTAAACCCCCATCCTGATGAGCCCCACCCCCCTGCACTCCCTGGAGCCCCCACATCCAGATCCCCATGCCACTGACTCCCAACTAGCTGCACCCAGACCCCCACCCCACCAACCCCCACTTCCCCAGCACCCAGACACCCCTGCTGAGACCCCCACACCGAGACCTCTGCTGAGCCCCAGCCAGTGTCACTTTGAAGACCCTGTAGAGTCCCATTGCCCACGCACCTAGAATACCCACTGAGCTGCCTGCACCTAGATAGTCTCATACAGAATCCTCTCACCCCACACCTGGGTCCCCTCACACTGAGCCCCTCCACAACTGGATCCTGCCTGGTTGAGCCTGCCTGCTCAAAACCTGGTGCAGGGCCCAAGAGTGTTTCTGGGGCAGGCCCAGGCCTTATGCTGTGTCAGGGTTGGGTGCAGCCTCACCACTGAGTCCATGTCCCGAGGATGAGGGGTGGGGAAGCTGAAGGGTGGTCCCCACCTTCACACAGCCAGTAGTCTGTGCTCCCCACTGCCATGCTGGAGCCTCTGCATTTATTTATTGACAAATAAAACTTGAATTTTAAATTTTTTGGCACAGAATGCCCTTAGGAGTAACATATGAAGCTTTAAAAACAACAAGGGGTCTGGTGACACCTTAAAGACTAACAGATTTATTTGGGCATAAGCTTTCGGGGGTGAAAAACCACTTCTTCAGATGCAATTGAAGAAGTGGTTTTTTACCCACGAAAGCTTATGCCCAAATAAATCTGTTAGTCTTTAAGGTGTCACCAGACTCCTTGTTGTTTTTGTGGATACAAAGTAACACAGCTACCCCTTGATATATGAAGCTTTAGCACATCTGGCATGTAAATATCTTGCAACGCTGGCTACAACAGTGCCATGCGATTGCCTGTTCTCTCTTTCAGGTGACATTGTAAACAAGAAGCGGGCAGCATTATCATCTGCAAATTTAAACAAACTTGTTTGTCTGAGTGAGTGGCTGAACAAGAAGTAGGACTGATTGGACTTGTAGGCTCTAAAGTTTTACGTTGCTTTATTTTTGAATGCAGTTTCTTGGTACATAATTTTACATTTGTAAGTTCAACTGTCATGATAAAGAGATTACACTACAGTACTTGTATGAGGTGAATTGAAAAATATATATATTCTTTTACAGTGCAAATATTTGTAATAAAAATAAATATAAAGTGAGCACTGTACACTTTGTATTCTGTTATAATTGAAATCTATATATTTGACAATGTAGAAAACATCCAAAAATATTTAAATAAATGGTATTCTATTATTGTTTAGCAGTGTGAGCAATCACGTGATTAATCTGATTTTTTTAATCGCTTGACAGCCCTACTTATTTTGGCACCCCTTTCTGCCTGTGAGCAGGCTGATAGGAGCAGCATTTGAATGGAAGCCAGCAGCCCACTTTCACTTTTCTCATGTTGTCTATATCTCCTTTCAGTGATGGCCTTCATTTTGCCAAAGCTATTTCACAGCCCTTGCTGCTTGCCTACTTGCTGTTTCCCTCCTTACTCCTTCTCTGTCTCCTCTTCCAATCCTCTCCATGGTTCCTCTACCCTTTTTCCTGTCTTCCCCTCTTTCTCCTGCACTTCCTCCTTGAAACTTTTTCTCCCAGGTTCCTTGCTCCACTCAACTCACCCCTTATGGTATTGTGTCAGCTGAGGGCCTGATTCTGCCACCCTTACTTGGGTTGAATGATATTTTACTCCATGAATAGTTTCCATGGGATTTCTTGTGGAGTAAGATGTGACTCAATGTGAGTAAAGGTGGCAGTGCTAGGTCCTCAGATTGCAGACCCTTTGTGACAAGGACAATGTCTTTATGTTCTGTAGAAGGCCAAACACACTTGCATTTTGGGCTAGATGGCGCAGTAGAACCTTAGAGTTACAACGCCTCGGATTGGAGATTGTTCGTGACTCTGAAATGTTAGTAACTCTGAACAAAATGCTATGGTTGTTCTTTCAAAAGTTTACAACTGAACATTGACTTAATACAGCTTTGAAGCTTCAATATGTAGAAGAAAAATGCTGCTTTTAACCATCTTAATTTAAATGAAACAAACACAAACAGTTTCTTTACATTGTTAAACCTCTTTTTTTAAACTTTCCCTTTATATTTTTAGTAGTTTACATTTAACACAGTTACTGTACTATATTTGCTTTTGTTGTTGTTGTTGTCTCTGTGGCTAACTGATTATGTGCTTATGGTTCCAAATGAGGTGTGTGACTGACCGATCAGTTCGTAACTGGTGTTTGTAACTCTGAGGTTCTACTGTAACTTCATCTTCTGCCCTGAGCAAATGGGCATATCTGGCTGGCTATTGAAGAGGGCAGACTCAAGTCTTTTCCCACTCTTTATCCTCTTGCCACCCAAATACTTGCAAACGGGAGCAGTGGTCAAGTAGCTGCTGTTTACCTTTCATCCCAACTCATCTGTGATGAGAGTCACAATCTGAGGAGGGCTGCACAAGTGAGTAAGGGTGGGCCACACCCTGTCTCGCTGCTCTGTTCTGTAAAGTAAGGACTGTGAGAAGCTGACTTTATATAAATAATAAATAAAATCAGTAAAAGAAATTAACGGCATCCATTGAATCGTAATATGGAAGCTTTGGATCAGAATGCTAATTATGGCCTTTTATCTTGCAAGGCTTGTATGTTTTAGCTTCAGGTTCTTCTCACTCTGAAAATATTATCTTTAGTTATTCTCAGCAGCTCGCCCACCCCTCCTTTTTTAAGTGTTGGAATTTACTGTAGCACATAGACATTGTGATCATATGGTTTGGTGTTTGCCTCCAGTGAGTTTAGGTCTCAGGGTTCTTGTCAGCCCTGTCCATGTTTACATATTATATTATGCCTAGACCTATAGTTATTTACATGTAATAATATTTTGTTGTTTTTCAGGGTACTTTTCCCAGGAGGTGGTGTTGATCTTAAGACTTCAGAATATTCCAGGATTGCTAGGATATTTTACAACAAGGCACTAAAGGTAACTACTTAAAGGAAAAACTGTTCTGGTTATTGTCAGTGTTCAGGGACCAAAATCATGGGAGGCTTATATTTGGACATCTGCAACTGGAGTGCAGTATATTCCTGTTAATAAGCAACTGACTACTGGTATGTGTGTTTAACAAATCATCTAATAGCATTAGATGCAGGTCTCAAATGAACACCTCCAGAAAATTAGAATCTGAACTTTAAGGTTTGAGGCCCATCGCTAAATAATTTAAGTGAAGTCAATTGTTAATTTCTTTATTTGTACAACATTACTTGTAAAATTTAGCTTAGTCACCCTTATTGCCAACACTTACACTAGATACTAAGAAAGACTGTGTATTTTTTATGAAGCAGAAATGGTGCTCATATGTTGTGCTCAGTACTAACTGAGGCCAAGATTTTCAGGGGTTTGGGTGAGTGCTCTGCACTTTCTGAAAACCAGGCCCCTTTAAAGCGTTTCAACTTGACCACCCATCTTTGTTCATGGGCATTGTCATCTGGGTATCATAGCCCCTGATATTGCAAAGACATGCTTACCTTTATGCAGTATAAGTAGTCCCATTTACCTCAATGAAACTACGCACAATGCATTAAGTTAAGCATGTAAGTAAGTGTGGAGGATTGGGGCCACAATGTCTGGTGGGGGCACCGTTACAGTAAACAGTATGATGAAATTGCACGAACGTTTCATAGCAACTCAGTAAATTGCTTGTCATCACTTCATATACAGAGCTTGAGGAAAAATCTTATTTGACTTGCTGTATGTAATCAAGATAATTGAAAACTTAGAAAGTAATTTCCAGTTCTTTATAGATGTCCTTTCCTGGCATGCTTTTCTCTGTTTTACTCCTGAAATTGTGTGCTCTGAACTGCATCCTTTGAGACTTAATTAGCACTATAAAATACTGATACATTTGTAAGTGCAATGTGAGTTATAGAAGTCAAGGTGATGTTTGCATGTATGAAGATGATTGGAATTTCTACTATTCTTTTAAATTCACATCAGTGTCTCTTCCCACTTTCCCTCATCAAATTCAAAATAAAGAGGTTACTTGATGTGACTGTTTTTAAATTACGTGTACACACAAGGGGTGAAATCCTAGACCCATTGAAGTCAATGGGAGTTTTGTCATTGACTTAAATGAGGCAAGGATTTCATCAAAGATTTTTTCCTCAGCTTATAAATTATAAATTACAGACTTTAATGCTGTTAAATAAGTGGTTAATCTCTAGGCTGCATTTTTAGGCACAGCAAAAGTAAGGGGAGTATATGTTAACGGCTTGATTATAATTTCACTTAAACTGATGTAACTCCTTTGACATTAGATACTCCTCATTTGCATCAGAGTAAGAGAGAGGAGTAGCAAGCCTAACATATCTAGCACTTACATGGTAAATAGCTAGAAAGATACTGTAATGCTTTTGGAGCTTCTTTGCAAAGATATTTTATATATCAGTGGTTTACTATAGGAGTAAATATCTATGTGAGTTTTTACAGTCACAGTATCAGGGATATAGTAAAGATGGAGATGGCACTTTCTTTCTAAGCCCTGAGTTTCAGTTGCTTAGATCTTTCCAGAAAAATAGCTTTTGAGTAATAACTTCTCAAGTTGGGTCACAACTCAGAAATTTGTTTTAGAAAGAAATTAAGAAAATGCACTGAGCCATCACAAATAAATAATGTTCTGGGGCAACAGAGCTTTTAAACCATGCGTATGGTGTAGAAATGCCACCTGCTTGCTGTCCGGATCTTCTCTCTTTAGAGCTTTATGTGCTTCTTTAAGTTGAAGGTTTCATTCTGCTTTTGCTTAGCTCTTCTTTCCTTCTCCTAGTTTTGCCCTTAGCTCAAGTTTCACATTGGTTTCATTGTTTTTAAGGTAACACTGACACTTTTTGTTTTATGTTGTTTAACATTAAAAAGGTTGCAGAGCAGTTTTTAAACTAAGAAATGGGGGAAAGCTGATTGCTGCAGAGGCGCACGTGGATCGTACAGAGACTTCTCTTAGAGGAGAATCTATTGATAAAGATTCTCTAGGTTTTAGTCAGGAGGAGAGGATGGAAGAGGATAAAGTATGGGTCAGTTCAGATGAGAAATATTCACATAAAGAATCTGACACATCAGAAAAGGGCAGACAGATAAACAGTGACAGGTTTTTAAAGTGCTTGTACACAAATGCTAGAAGTCTAAATAATAAGATGGGTGAACTAGAGTGCCTCGTGTTAAAGGAGGATATTGATATAACAGGCATCACAGAAATCTGGTGGAGTGAGGACAATCAGTGGGACACAATCATTCCAGGGTACAAAATATGTCAGAAGGACAGAACAGGTCATGCCAGGGAGGGGCGGGGGGGCACTATATGTGAAAGAAAATGTAGAATCAAATGAAATAAAAATCCACATGTTCCATAGAATCTCTCTGGATAGTAATTCCATGCTCTAATAAGCATATAACAGTAGGGATCTATTATTGACCACCTGACCAGGATAGTGATAGTGACGATGAAATGCTAAGGGAGATTAGAGAGGCTATCAAAATAAAAAACTCAGTAATTGTGGGGGATTTCAATATGTCACCTCAGGATGAAATGCAGAGACAAAATTTCTCGATACTTTAAATGGCTGCTTCTTGGAGCAGCTGGTACAGGAACCCACAAGGGGAGAGGCAACCCTCGATCTAGTCCTGAGTGGAGCGCAGGATCTGGTCCAAGAGGTAACTGTAACAGGACCACTTGGAAATAGTGACCATAATATAATAACATTTAACATTCCTGTGGTAGGAAGAACACCTCGACAGCCCAACACTCTGGCATTTGATTTCAGAAAGGGGAGCTATGCAAAAATGAGGAGGTTAGTTAAACAGAAATTAAAAGGTACAGTGACTAGAGTGAAATCCCTGCAAGCTGCATGGACTCGTTTCAAAGACACCATAATAGAAACTCAAATGTATACCCCAAATTAAAAAACACAGTAAAAGAACTAAAAAAGAGCCACCGTGGCTTAACAACCATGTAAAAGAAGCAGTGAGAGATAAAAAGGCATTTTTTAAAAAGTGGAAGTCAAATCCTAGTGAGGTAAATAGAAAGGAGCATAAGCACTGCCAAATTAAATGTAAAAATGTAATAAGAAAAGCCAAAAAGGAGTTTGAAGAACAGCTAACCAAAAACTCAAAAGGTAATAACAAAATGTTTTTTAAGTACATCAGAAGCAGGAAGCCGGCTAAACAACCAGTGGGGCCCCTGGACGATCGAGATACAAAAGGAGCACTTAAAAACGATAGTCATCGTAGAGAAACTAAATGAATTCTTTGCTTCAGTCTTTACGGCTGAGGATGTGAGGGAGATTCCCAAACCTGAGCCATCTTTTGTAGGTGACATATCTGAGGAATTGTCACAGATTGAAGTGCAACTAGAGGAGATTTTGGAATTAATTGAGAAACTTAACAGAAACAAGTCAGCGGGAGCAGATGGCATTCACCCAAGAGTTCTGAAAGAACTCAAATGTGAAATTGCGGAACTATTAACTATGGTTTATAACCTGTCCTTTAAATCAGCTACTGTACCCAATGACTGGAAGATAGCTAATGTAACACCAATATTTAAGAAGGGCTCTAGAGGTGATCCTGGCAATTATAGACCGGTAAGTCTAACGTCAGTACTGGGCAAATTAGTTGAAACAATAGTACAGAATAAAATTTGTCAGATGCATAGAAGAATATAAATTGTTGCGCAAAAGTCAACATTGTTTCCGTAAAGGGAAATCATGTCTTACTAATCTATTAGAGTTCTTTGAGGGGGTCAACAAACATGTGGACATAGTGTACTTAGATTTCCACAAAGCCTTTGACAAGGTCCCTCACCAAAGGCTCTTGCGTAAATTAAGTTGTCATGGGATAAGAGGGAATATCCTTTCATGGATTGAGAACTGGTTAAAAGACAGGGAACAAAGGGTAGGAATAAATGGTAAATTTTGAGAATGGAGAGGGGTAACTAGTGGTGTTCCCCAGGGGTCAGTCCAAGGACCAATCCTATTCAACTTATTCATAAAGGGATAAAGAGTGAGGGGATAAAGAGAAAGGGATAAACAGTGAGGTGGCAAAGTTTGCAGATGATACTAAACTTCTCAAGATAGTCAAGACCAAAGCAGACTATGAAGAACTTCAAAAAGATCTCACAAAACTAAGTGATTGGGCAACAAAATGGCAAATGAAATTTAAAGTGGATAAATGTAAAGTAATGCACATTGGAAAAAATAACCCCAACTATACATACAATATGATGGGGGCTAGTTTAGCTGCAACTAATCAGGAGAAAGATCTTGGAGTCATTGTGGATAGTTCTCTGAAGAAGTCCACGCAGTGTGCAGCAGCAGTCAAAAAAGCAAACGGGATGTTAGGAATCATTAAAAAAGGGATAGAGAATAAGACAGAGAATATCTTATTGCCCTTATATAAATCCGTGGTACACCCACATCTTGAATACTGCATACAGATGTGGTCTTCTCATCTCAAAAAAGATATACTGGCATTAAAAAGGTTCAGAAAAGGGCAACTAAAATGATTAGGGGTTTGGAATGGGTCCCGTATGAGGAGGTATTAAAGAGGCTAGGACTTTTCAGCTTGGAAAAGAGGAGACTAAGGGGGGGATATGGTAGAGGTATATAAAATCACGAGTGGTGTGGAGAAAGTGAATAAGGAGAAGTTATTTACTGGTTCCCATAATATAAGAACTAGGGGCCACCAAATGAAATTAATGGGCAGCAGGCTTAAAACAAATAAAAGGAAGTTCTTCACTCAGCGCACAGTCAACCTGTGGAACTCCTTGCCTGGGGAGGTTGTGAAGGCTAAGACTATAACAGGGTTTAAAAGAAAACTGGATAAATTCATGGAGGTTAAGTCCATTAATGGCTATTAGCCAGGATGGGTAAGGAATAGTGTCCCTAGCCTCTGTTTGTCAGAGGGTGGAGATGGATGGCAGGAGAGAGATCACTAGATCATTACTTGTTAGGTTCACTCCCTCTGGGGCACCTGGCATTGGCCACTGTCGGTGGACCGGATACTGGGCTGGATGGAACGGATACTGGGCTGGATGGACCTTGGTCTGACCCAGTATGGCCTTTCTTATATTCTTATGTCCAAATTTCTCCTCCAGGAATCCAGGGCATAAAATTGCTGGCTATGCAAACGTCAAGCACATAAAAGAGCTAGATGTTGCAGAAAAAGTCCTATAGAAGTAAAAGGGATTTACAGTTTGTTAACTTGTACGTAAATTACTGTATGTGTTGACCCATTTCTTCATTTTTTTGTTTCTTATTTTAAAGGCTAATGATAAAGGAGACTATTTTCCTGTATGGGGAACATGTCTGGGATATGAAGAGCTTACATACCTCACCAGCGGGGAGATTTTACTGACTTGGACTAATACTGAGGATTTTGCTCTCCCACTGAACTTTACTACAGGTGAACAATCCTGTTACACTGCTAATGTCATTTGGATTCACAGGATTTTTTTTTTCTTGTAATAAACCAATATTTATGGTTGAAGGTTTGAAATAGGTGACTAATGTTTTTATAATATTAATATTGTTACTTCTGTAAGAAAGCCAATAAAATTCTGTGACTGAAAAATTAAAGGTTTGAGGGCAAACTATTTGCAGCTCATGGGTAATTAGAGAAAGGCCTGACCAAAATTATGGATCTGAAAAGCTATGAACTTTGGGAAAGTTTGGTCCTAGATCCATAATTTTGATCCAGCCCCCTAACTCTGTAATGAGCTCTGAATCCTTATATACTATAATATATAGCAGGGATTGGCAACCTTTGGCCCGCGGCCCACCAGGGTAAGCCCGGTGGGCCAGGCTTGTTTGATTACTTGCCACGTCTGCAAGTTCAGCCATTCGCGGCTCTCGCTGGCCACGGTTCGCCGCTCCAGGCCAGCGGGGGCTGCGTGAAGTGGTGCGGTCCGAGGGATGTGCTGGTCACCCTTCCCGCAGCTCCCATTGGCCTGGGATGGTGAACGGCAGCCAGTGGGAGCCGCGATCAGCTGAACCTGCAGACGTGCAGGTAAACAAACCGGCCCGGCCTGCCAGGGGGCTTACCCTGGTGGGCCGCATGCCAAAGATTGCCGATCCCTGATATATAGTATTGAAATCAGTGGGACTACTTGCAAAATGAGATGCAACTCAGCATAAGAGTGGCAGAAGATGGCTCTGAATGATGCTTTTTTTTTTTTTTTCCCTCTAGGAGCAATAAGCAGGATTTCTTCCATTGATTGCAGTAATTAATCAATGGACTAAATCCTGTTGCCTTGCCTTATTTTGAAAAATTCTGCCATTCCTAACTACACAGAGTAGTACCTCAACCACACCATTGAAATTAATGGTAGAACGTGGTTCTAATGAGTGTGAGCAAAGGAGGCAGAATGGGGCCCTTAGTGGGTCAGGGCTGCAGCATATGGCCTAGTGAGAATTGTTAGACTGCATTCTGCCATAGCTGTATTATAGATTTCTTACTGGGGTATGTTTGTATTGTATTATTGATTAATAAAATTCAGTGAAAACAGAATCAAAAGGAATTAAAATTAATTCAGCCAGTACTTCATCACATTTATCTCCATCCTAATAGTGATGTTCCTATGGCTGCCTGGTAGTGAGAATATTCCTTTGTCTTTTTTATACAAGCTGCACAAGACAGCAGGATGTTCAAGAATTTTCCAGACTTCTTGTTGAAAAAACTTGCCACTGAGTCTTTGACAGCACACTTTCATCACTGGAGCCTCTCCATGCAGGTATTTGATCATTTGATTTAGTGAACCAAAATGAGGTTACTCTGTTAAATCTAGAAATAAAACATTTTTTCTGTCACTTTTTAATGCAGAATTTCACACAGAATGAGAAGCTACGCAATTTCTATAAGGTTCTAACAACTAACACCCATGCAGACGTGGAGTTTATATCGACAATGGAAGGTAGTTATCAGTGTAACATGTAAACTGTGATAGGGTTTTGTGGGGCTGTTTTTTGGGAGGGAGAAGGGGGAGGGTTTGTTTGTTTTTTGTGTGGAAGATCTCAGTGAGTGTGGCGGTGGTGTTACTAATTTTAATGTTAGGATAAGGAGTTAAGTGTCCGCACTGCCTGCCTTCTGGTTGATTAGAATATGTTTTGTCGAAGATAACTTATACCTCTGCACTTTACTTTAGATGTGCATGTTTCAGAGTCTGATTGTTCTCTCTTTCACTCCACTGCTCCACACCTAGATATGTTAGCACACTTTACCAAATGAAATATTTTCAGATCTATGGGATAAGACATGGAAACACCACTCCAGTTTCTGTAGCTTAAACCCCTCCTCAATGAAACATGTATAGTCTTCACTTCCACTGCTGGCTGTCTACAGATACTGCCTCTCCATGTTGCTCTCTTTAGCCGTGCCTGTAGTACAGGGAGAGCCATTTATGCTAGTGACATGCCAACAGTATCCCCCATTCCTTTGACTACAGTTCTGGTAATTGCTGTCTTCCAAAAGACTCCTGCATAACCTGTGCCTTTACCTGGCATATTTAACTCCAGAAACATCTGTTTTGATTCATTAGAGCAGTAGTGGGCAACCTGCAGCCCGCGGGCTGCATGCGGCCCATCAGGGTAATCCCCTGGCGGGCCGTGAGACAGTTTGTTTACATTGACCGTCCGCAGACACGGCTGCCTGCAGCTCCCTGTGGCCACGGTTCACTGTTCCTGGCCAATGGGAACCGCAGGAAGCGGCAGCCCAGGAATGGTGAACCATGGCCACTGGGAGCTGCGGGCGGCCATGCCCACGGACGGTCAATGTTAAAAAAACTGTCTTGTGGGCCGCCAGCAGATTACCCTGACGGGCCGCCCGTGGGTTGCAGGTTGCCCACCACTGCAGTAGAGTATGCTATAGAGAGGATTTTGTCATGTTTCTGCTAGAAGCTATACAGTAAGTGTATGGTACTGAAGTTAGATCGTAACTGCAATTAATAACACTTTTAGTACTCTTATTTTTTATAATGAAACCATTTATTTTTCCTTTTTTTTTTTTTAAATATTGTAACTAAAGCAATCAGATTACAATGGTGGAACAGCGACCTGCAGAAATTTGTTTGCATAGAATCAAGCCCTTTTTCATTTAGCATCTCACTATAACTTTTAATTTCTTACAATGTAAAATTGACCAAACTATTTTTTAAACGTCACTATTATTGTTCTTGGGCTGAAATCTTGTATGTGAAGTTTTAGGTGGGAATACATTTTACAAGCTGCTTAAGGCTTTTTGGTCCCATTATAGATGTTATGAATTATATGTGAGATATAGTGAGATCTCTAATAATGTGTTCATTGTAATAAAATTGTGCATGCCACAATTTAAGTGAAGACCTAAATGTTACATGCATTGATGAAAATTTGTTTACACAGCACATAAATACCCAATTTATGGTGTCCAGTGGCATCCAGAGAAAAATCCTTTTGAATGGAAGAACTCATCAGGCATACCACATTCTGCATCAGCTATGAAAGTTGCATATTACGTAGCTGACTTCTTAGTGAATGAAGGTAAATAGTTCTTTTTTCATTTATATTCATAAAATTTAGTTTCATAGAGATAAAACAGTAGAATATTCTTTGAGAGGGGAAAAAGGCCCCCTTTCAAAGTGTCAAAATACTATACCTATGATCACATACTATGCAAGCTTTAAAGGCTTATTAAAAGGAGGGACTTCGTAAATAGAATGGTTAAGCAAAAGTAACAACAAAAGCCAAGCATTTTGATGGAAGCATACAAACTCCTTTTAGCAGAGAATAATTTGCCAGGAGGAGAGTGTCGATTTTTAATTTGATATAAACATTTGAGCAGACACCAAAAACTGATGAAACTTTAGAATTGTTAAGGCTGCACTCTAGGTGAACTCAAAGCTCTTATTCACATCCCAGTCTCGCTCTGCCTTGGGCAAAGTAGGTAGAATGAGATAATGAATGGAAGATTTTATTTCCAGAAGCTTTCTGAGTTTTGTTTTAATTGGGGTAATTACAGTAGAGGGATTGACAAAAGTAAGTAGGAAACTGTCTCCAGGCTCAGAGAAAGACCAATACACTTTCCTCTTGCAGTGTCTAGCTGTGTCACTCTGTCTCTTGTGCTATACCACAAACTCTTCTGTGTTAGTCCCTTAAGCTACAGTAGTTAATCCTCTCAGTATATCTCTACAGCCATTACTCCAGCTGGCTAAAAAAATTTCTGCAGCCCAGGAAGGGTCCTCGGACGAGATTGACAACAATGGTGTGTAGGCCAACACTGCCTCCTGAACATTTTTTACATATATCAGAATCCGTCGAGCCTATTTTCTCCTAACCATAAAAATAAAATGTGGGGAAAGAAACGCAAAATATTTGCTGACCAGTGGAGACTTACTCAGCCTCTATGAGTATTTAACAACCAGTCCAGTCTGCTGAAACAGAATTTACTTTTCATCAATGATATTTCTTATTACTTCATGTTAATTTTAACGTATGCCTAGTTCCAGATGGAAAAAACTGAATTAGTAGGATTTTGTTTTCCTTGCAAATACAATTTTTCTCAACATTTTAATATCTAATAGTCTCGTATTGCAATGTATTAGTTCTGGTGTTGCATGGGTCTCCAGTGCTGCAAGAATCAAGTTTTCGGAAGCAGCAATTGCTCTTAAAAATTAACATATTCTTCCATGATAATAAAGCAGATAAAGTCTGCTGCAGTTTCCACGGTATGCATCTGATGAAGTGAGCTGTAGCTCACGAAAGCTCATGCTCAAATAAATTGGTTAGTCTCTAAGGTGCCACAAGTACTCCTTTTCTTTTTGCGAATACAGACTAACACGGCTGTTACTCTGAAACATGATAATATAGTATCCCTATTACCAATATCTTTGGAAAAGCTAGCCCCATAATATTCCCCACAAATTTAAATTATTACAGTACTGCTTACTATAATCCTATATAGAATCAGTGATTTCACCAAGAAAGATACTATCATGGATGATGACAGTGAAGTAATCTGTTCTTTTAAAATGTTTTACAGCCCGGAAGAGCCTGCACCATTTTCCTAATAAGGGTGAAGAGACCAAAACATTGATTTACAATTATACCCCTGTTTTTACTGGTACATTTTCTCCATTTGAGCAAGTCTATTTTTTTGATTGAACATCTATCCCATAGTACAGGATAGCTATCTGTAAATAACTTTATTTGTTGCAAGTTTCATAATTAAACTCATGTTGTGCATTGCAAGTGGCAGAAAGCCAAAATGCTTAGCTTACTTTACAGTGATTTATCCTATGTTACCTCTGTAGAATTGGCCCATGAATCTGACAGATTTCAATTCAATTACATTATAGTGATCCTGGATCTCATTTTAATACCTGCTACAGAGAAATACATTTTACCTCCAGAGACCACAACTAGATTGCACTTATAAATTTGAAGCAAATCTAGTTTATTTAAAAAAACTGAGCAATGCTTTTGGCCATATATTTGAAAGAAATGAGTTTACTTCTACAAAACGTTGTGGGCTCTGTGATAACAGCTGAGTAGATAAAAGATTTGATTTATCATAATTTTCTTCTCTTGGTCAGAGTACAATACAATTAAAAGATGAAATAATCTTTTGATCTTGAGCTTGACAGATATGTGCTTGTGTAACCAAACTCTTGGCAGAGAAAATTGTTTGTCCTTTAGAAAGACGACAAAATAACAGGGAAACATTATTGCAAACAGACATAAAGAAGTGTATGCAGTACCATCTGTACCTTGTAGGATTTACATAGTGAAGGTGCAGTATTATTTAGGCATTGCATCAGTTAAAGTAAGTCTGTTTGGAGGGCACAGTTAAAACATTGATTCACCTCCTGCTCCCTTATTCAGTTTAACTTATTCCTTAAGAATCTGTTCCAAAGCACACTGAAGTCAGTGGAAAGATTTTGGATAGGCCCTGAATTAGTTTGCTTTTTGAAAGAATATGATGGTTTTTTGATGTTTTTAATGATGATATAATGTATAATTTGACTTTTGGTGAAATCCTGACCCTGTTGAAATTAAGGGGTGTTTTGCCATTGACTTTAGTTGGGACAGGATTTCATCCCTTTTTAAAAAACATTTTGATGTAATGCTAATGTGACTTAACAGGGATACAAGCAGCGAAGACTTTTACTGTTGACACAATGTAATGATTGTAATTATTAGGCAGCTGCATTTACTGTGTTTTTTCCTTTTGCTTTGCCTTGCAACACATTTACTTGAAGTAGCTCTTCTCAGTTACTGAAAAGTTTGTTCAGTAGTTTTGTGATGTCAAAATAGGACGAAGATGAGGCAATCCATTTAATTTCCCTTTTCTTCCACAGGCCCAAACCTAATAGCGTTTTAACCTCAGGTCTCCAGAATTGAAAGTTAGTAACACACAGCAGTTTCAGCACCACATCTGCATTACAGGTGCAGAATTTATCAGGGCATTCGAGAGGGTAAAAGACTTCTTACTCGCTATTCATGGCCAGATAAGGGCTAAGCTGTAGCAGGCCTAACAGAAAGAACTGGAAATGCATTCATTAATGTTCTATAAAGCAAAAACTTTTATCTGTAACTACTGTCAAGAATCCAGCCCAGTACACTCATAAGCATGGTGTATTTTGGTTATAAAATTCAGCATTTGTATTTCATTATTTCTAGGTACTATTACAGTCAAACTGTGCAAAGCTTAATTAGTCTAGGACATTTTAGATCACTTCTCAGGTTTCACTTCTGTAAGTGCTTGACTACCCCAATTCAGCACAATACAATTTTGTGTTGTATTATGTCTCTACTAGTAGCTGAAAGCTCATGCTGTCATAATTTATAAAGGTGTAATTTATAAAGATGTGGCTGAGAACTTAAAAATTGGATGGTAATGGAGTACTAATTCCAGTGATGATTCAACCTGTTGATATTCTAAACAAAAAGTGCTTTCAGCCCTGCTTGTAGCTGTTTCCATCACTTCACATTGACTCAACAGACATTCTAGGCTTCAGAGTGACATACAGACTGAGTGACAATCCTGGACTCTTATATAGAATACTATGAGCCTGATTCTTCTCTTATCCCAGTTTTGCACTGGTATAGTCTTGATTTCAATAGCGTGACTCCTGAGTCCTGGCTTACCAGTATGAGAAATGACATTAGCATAGCTGTGTTTTTAACAGAGTTACTCCTGATTCTTGACTTACACCAGTCTGAGAAGACAGTCAGGCTCTCGATCTACATACAGGCATAGCGGCTAAACTGCTTACACACTAATGACCAAATCCTGCAATTCTTACTTAAGCATCCCCAGGAGTTTTGCCAAGTAGGGCTTTTCTACACCTAAAACTTACATTGACATAGCTTCATTGCTCAAGGCTGTGAAAAATTTCATGTGCCATGTGATCTATTTAAGTTGACCTTACCTGCACTGTAGAATTCTTCCATGGACCTAGCTACCACCTCTTGAGGGGGTTGATTTACTACAGTGACAGAAAAGCCCCTTCTGTTGCTCTAGTAAGTGTCTAGCCTACAGCGCTGTAGCTGTGCCACTGTAGCGTTTGTAGTGTAAACATACCCTGAGAGTTTGTCTATGTAAGAAATGCATGATTTAGCCCTAATATAGTGGAGAACAATCCTGCAAGTGGAATTTCTGTTAACTTTACTGGTTGTGACCAGGGCCAAAGTGTGCAAATGCAAAGGGTGGGGGGGGGGTAATATGAGTGAGATCGGCGTATTTATTCATAAGTTTGGAAGTTTATTTCCTTGCTGTTTTGTTCTGCTTTATAAAAGAGCACTTCATTGAACTGATTGTATTAAATGATTTCTTTTAATACTTGAAATAAAGTTTACACAAGCAGTTTTGTATCTTCCTTGAGAGGTGTACACAGACTATTAAAAAAAAATTATAAAAGAGTCCTGGCTGCTTCACTCCCTGCCCAATCTTGATGCAATCACTAAACAGAGCAGTCCAGAGGCTGGTCTAACCCGCACCAGTTGGCTGTGGTCTCCAGGGACCATCTGACAGCTGAGGATTGCCAGAATGCATCGCTTTCTAGCCACTCCCTTTTGCTTACCCTTGACAGGGGCAGAAGAGGGTGGTACAGACTATTCTGGCTGCCCTTCCGATGGGGACTGTCCCACACCTGTGGTAATTCGAGTTGGGGTCTTCCATCAGTCTCTGCTCTCTTTTCAGCTCTCTGGCAGAGCAGGGCAGAGAATTTGTTTCTAATTATTAATCACAGCCCTGAAAAATTAATACAGTTACGGTGGACTTTGTGTGGTTCCCAGAGAGTGTGTCTTTATGGGCAGTCACAAACCTCGTTGAAGCTGGTGAGCATGATAGCTGCCTGTCATTCAGGCTAAATGAAAGAGGAATTAAATGCCCCTTTGTTTAGTGATAGTTGAAACAATAAAAGCAACTACCCAAATCACAGATCAGTATGGCAAGGATGGAGTAGGAGCTGATTCTTGAGGTCTGAGGGCTTTTGACTGGGGATTGCGGGCTTAGGGGCTGTGTATATTTTGGTGGAGCCGTGGGTGTCTGTGAGGCAGAATCAGCCAGAGGCAGCAGAAAACCAGGAGACAAGAAGAGAAGCACTGGTAAGATAGCCCTGAGAGAAAACCAAGAGAGTGCTAACTGGAAAGAGGCTAGAACTGTGAGCAAAGAAACTGTCTCCTGTTGTTTGATTCCTTGTGTTCACAGAAATAAGACTTTATGCACATTCTTTGTAAATAAACAGGATTTCATCTAAGAAATCCCAGATTCTGTCATCAATTTCTCTTCCTAATGGAAACAATCTGCAAGACCTTGAAATGGCTAACTGCTCAGGAAAAGAGGTAATTTTTTAAAATATATATATCTTCCAATCTATAGGGTTCCTTCTTAATTACTTAGTTAATGTATATAATAGCTCAGTTTTAAATACCTTATTATTTGCATTATTGAAGTGCAGTTATAGTGTGTTTCAGAATTGATGGAGGGGCATGGGCAGATTGATACTGCTCTGGAGAGAACAAAAGAAGCACTGGTAATGTGGCTGTGAGAGAATGCCAGAGAGCGCTTTTTTGGACAGAGAGCTAGCTGGAAAGAGGCTAGGAACTGTTAGCAAAGAAATTGCCTCCTCATATTTGATGCCTATTGTTTTCAGGGAAAGACCACTTTGTGCACATTTGTAAATAAACAGGTTTCCATCAATTTCTCCTTCTAACGGAAACAACCCGCAAGACTTCAAAAGTAGCTAGCACCCCTCCCTGCCCCCACACAAATATGTTTTTTAATATAAAACTTCTAATCTGTAATGTAGGTTCTTAATTATTTAGTGCATGTTTTAATAGATCAATTTTAAAGACCTCACTATTTGCATTATTGAAATATGGTTAAAACATTTCAGAATATCTGTGGGGGGTGGAGAGAGGGCAGAGACATAGGGCCCGATACAGCTGTCTGGAGGAGATGACTAATGGAGAACAGAATCTGGCCCACTATTTTGAAAATTGATCTTACCACCACTGCAATTCTGTCTATTACACATTATATTTCAATGCCTTTGAAAGCAAGATTTTATAAATGGTTTTAACATGTGTAGTGTGTTTGTATTGGACCATTTTGAAATTTGAGAACTTTCTGGTTCACACCAAAGATTAGTGTTTGAATAGGATAGTTATAGTACTATGGTATGTTATTTAAGTACAAGAGGGACTGAATAAGATTGTGGATTCAGTGTATATTAGGCATTTGGCATGTCTAGCTGAGAATTTAACACATTACTTAACATATAGGGTGACATGTTCCCATCTTCGCACAAAGCAACAGGAAGGTGATTGGGAAGGAAAAGGGCACACAGATATATTCCGGGAAGGAGCTGTGTTTCCGGCATATTCTCCCACCCTGGCCTCAGGGACTATAGCAGCTATACTGCGAGAGACCCACATGGTCACGACTGCATGGGACAGAAAGTAATAGGGGCAGGTAGGTTGACTGTTCTCCGCAGTGAAATTTTTCCTCATGCAGGAATGTTGAGGCAGCAGGTTGCACAAAGCTGTTGTGCTTCCTCCTAAGTGTGAGTGGAGGCCATTTCTGAGAGCTAGTAAGGTTCAGCATGACACATGTTCTTCTGCTCTGAGAGAATGTCTCCAATCCTATGTCTATCTTCTCTCTCAAGTGTGCAGAGGGGAAGAAAGAGGTGCAGCAAGGGTAGACAGTGGGGATGTCTCAGTAACCATAGTCTTAAATACAGTCCTCATCCTGCTTCTACAGGCTTCTATGTTTTTTGGTCTCAGATCTTAAGACCTTTGTTTGTTTTCTATTCCAGCAGTTATTGGTTTGCTTGTTCAGTGGTGGATAGTAGCTTGCACAGGGGTCCTTAATAGAGGGTGGATTTTGCTCTGGCTTTCCACTTTCCCTCTCCCAATTCAGTTCTGTTCCACAACACAAAATACATTTCTGCAACCAGTTTTCCTTGCGTATCCCTATGCAGCTAAAACTGTAAAACGCTTTCATCCAAAAAGTTTCAAACTGCATGAAAATATCCATCAACATTTGAAAGTGGTGCATAAAGCAGGAGTTTGTGCCAAACTTAATTTTAAAAAGTCAATTTCCTTTTCCTTTGTAGTTGTTGGAAGAACAATAAAACCATTTTTTATTCACACCCAAAGCCTTCTCTGTGTGAAAAAAGAAAGCAAGTACAAAAGGATGTAACACAGTAATTTCTAAGCAAGAGTAATCATAGCATTAATCATTAAATGCAATTGGATGAGTAAAATTAGCATGAGAATATGCACTTCTGGGGAACAATAGAAGCTTCCCATTTTTAAGGTTCTATGGAGTATATGACATTTCACTGTGTTTTATGTAGCAGAAACTGGATTTCATATATTATACAATTTTATACCATATTTGTAAAGCAAAAATAAATTGTAAAAAGTCTGTGTGTGCAGCAAAAAGTTAGAAAAAACACACAAATTGAGCTAGAAAGAGAGAGAGGACGGGGTTAGAGGTAAGGCACTGGTCTGGAACTCAGATCTCCTGAGTGCAACTCCCAGCTCTGCCACAAAATTCTTGTGTGCCCTAGGGAAAGTCACTTAATCTCTGTCTGTTTCTCAGCTGTATTAAGAAAGTGTTATCCCCATTCTCCCCCTCTGTCTCTCTTATGAGTTTAGACTGCAAGATATTTGGGATAGCAGCTTTCTCTTACTACAGGCTTGTCTCTACTACTGGGGTAAGTCGACCGAAGTTATGCTCCTGAATAACGTAGTTGGAGTTGACATAGCTTAGGCTGACTTACCGCGGTGTCTTCACTGCACTGCGTCAACAGGAGATGCACTCCAGTCGACTTACCTTACTCTTCTCGGTGAGCTGGAGTGCCGGAGTTTTCTGGAGAGTGCTCTTCTGTCGATTTAGTGGGTCTTCACTAGACCTGCTGAATCAATACACGCTGCATCAATTTTAGCAGCATCAATCTCCCTGGTAGTGAAAGCAAGCCCTATGTGTAGGACATACTATAATACTCCTCCACCTCAGCTGGGATCTCTAAATGCCATACCTTCCCTTCTGCATTCAGTGCCATGCCTCAGTTTCCCTTTTTTCAGGGACCAACTCCATGAAGCTGAAAACAGAATGCTGAATTTCTCAATGTTTCCTTTCCACTGTTATGGAACAAAAGTATACTCAACCCCTCATTCTTGTAACCAGTTTCCTCAAGTCCTTTTTAGCCTTGCTCCTGTTCACTAGCTTTTTCCAGTCCTTTCCCAGAGGTTCACAGTCATTCTTGCATCAGGCTTTCCACCATCTCACTTGCCAGGTCGCTCACTAGTCTTACTCCTGCATTCTTGTCCCAGCCCATTAAGCTCAACCCAGGCCCTTGGCCATGGCTCTATTCTGAGACAGCTGTCCTCCTGCCAGTCTCCATGGAAACCAAAATGCCAAAGTCTTTCTAGACCCTAATCTCTCTCAGGGTAGCCTAGAGCGTGGCTTTATACAGTCCTCACAGGCAGTCACATGCTCTACAGTCACATGCTCCCTCCTGAGTGTCTGCACTGATTGCACCCATCTGTGGCCCTTCCTAGGCCAAAAGGATGAACTCTTTCTGCTAGCCTAGGGATGGGGTCTACCTCCCCATCACAGGGCCCCACTACAAATAATAGTTTAAAGGCAAACTCACAGGACTGAATATGGCCTAGTTATCCATAAAAAGAGCTGCCTTACCAAAGGTTTAATTGTTTAAAATAGTCAAGCTAAGCAAAACATAATTTGGGATGGAGAATTATTTCTGTTGATTTGGGCCTATTTTTCACTTCTCCCAATGGGAGAATATGGTATCAGCTCTCCTCATAAAACTATCCACATTACACTAGACCCCTTGGAGCAGCCTCTATGGATTTGGGCTCTGTGCATAGGGCTGAGGAGAGTCTTTGGGAATGGGGAGGGGCACTCATCAGATCCTAGCAAAAACTACACTATAAAGGTGATACAGCCTAGAGCAGGGGGTCTTAATCTTTTTTTTTTCTGAGCACCCCCCTCCCACAACATGCCATAAACAGTCCCTGGTCCACGTGTGCCACACCAGCTGTTTTTCTGCATATCCAGTAGATTAAAAGCCAGGGCCGGCGTTAGAGGGTAGCCAGAAGGGCAATTGCCCAGGGCCCCACACCACAGGGGGCCCTGCGAAGATAAGTTGCTTGGGGGCTTTCAGCTGTGGGCCCCAGTGAGTCTAACGCTAGTCCTGCTCTCTGGTTTATTTTGGCAGATCCCCTGAAACTGGAATTGCACTTTCCAGGATGCCCCAGACCTCTGGTTGAGAACTGCTGGCTGAGACTGCATTACATCTCTGCCAGCCCACTCTACACCCCCCCTCTCCC